CGCAAGGCCAAAATGGAGATTAGGGGGAACAGAATGGTCTTCTTCTGTCTTATAATTAAACTTAGCTTTTTTGCAAATAAACCACAAACCCCAATATGTAACAAATGTGAATAAAACTAAGAATAATTCCAGTTACCATGAAAGTATTTACACAGAGAGGCAACCTGATGGCGGTGGGAATTGACTTGTTATTTTTCCAAAGAGTGAAACATGACCCAGTGAAGACAACCTGTCGTATGTTATTCAATTATCCCTACTTCGTATGTCCATTCCAATGAAACATGTCGTTCCTTGCAGATTGACCATTCATGATTTCGATTGGATTTAAATCAAATCAGAGTTTCCGGGTCAGTCTATAGTACTTTGATTTGCTCACTGGTAAGGCTTGCCAGTGTGTTCGTGCAGCGTTACAATTTTTCGTACGCTTCCTTGGAATAACGTCCATCGCAGACAATGGCCGTAGGACAAATAATCGACAATCGAGACAATAGTGTCTGGGCGTGATATAAATCTGATGCAATGACGGACGATACAATTTTCAAGGCCAAACAAATTTCATCATACACCCCGAAAATAGATTCATATTACTGCACACCACTGCAAATGACCTAATCTGAGGAAAAAAAAAAAGAAATCGATTACACCCTGTCACTCCAGTGGGTTTAAAACTGACCGTATGGTGAAAGAAAGGGAAACTAAAGCGGTTGTTTCAATTAATTTGCATGATAGCAATATTTTTTGAATGTTTCCAGAGGTTCAGTTTCTTGGATAACAGATACTACCCTCTTGTTGAAGGACAGAAACTGAAACTTGTTGGAGGATAGACCCTGCGACTTGTTGGAGTATAGATACCGCCACTTATCGGAGGATAGACACTGCAACTTGTCGTAGGATAGACACTGAAACTTGTTGCAGGACAGAAACTGCCACTTGGAGGATAGTCACTGCCACTTGTTAGAATTTTTAGAAATCTAAATCACTTGTTTCTTTTGATAGACCCTTGAGACTTCTTTGGGTGATAGACACTGTAACTGCTTATAAGATAGACACTGCCATTTGTTGGAGGACAGAATCTGCAACTTGTTGAAGGACAGAAACTGCCACTTGTTAGAGGATAGACACTGCCACTTGTTGGGGGATAGATAACTCAACTTGTTGAATATCAGAAACTGCAACTTGTTGAAAGACAAAAACTGCCACTTGTTGGAGGATAGACACTGCAACATTTTGAAGTATAAAAACTGTCACTTGGAGGATTGTCACTGCCACTTGTTGGAGTATAGATACTATCACTTGTTGGAGGATAGACATTGCCACTTGTTGGAGGATAGACACTGCAACTTGTTGGAGAACAGAAACTGCCACTTGGAGTATAGTCACTGCAACTTGTTGGAGGATAGTCACTGCAACTTGTTGGAGGATAGACACTGCAACCTGTTGGAGGATAGGCACTGCAACTTGTCGAAGGCCAGAAACTGCAACTTGTTGAAGGACAGAAACTACCACTTGTTGGAGGGTAAACACTGCCACTTGATGGAGCAGAGAAACTCCAAACTGTTCGAGTTATTGCCTTTCAACTATTCATATTTGATTCGACTACCGATATTAAATGTACGATAATTTCTACATTTCTTTCTTTATAATTTTTGTTATGGTAAATATAAAATCTTTAGTTAATAGTTAATGGGCTATAAATGGCGTTACATCATGTTACAATGT